ACACACACACACACACACACACACACACACACACACACACACACACACACACACACACACACACACACACAACACACACACACACACACACACACACACACACACACACACACCCACACACACACACACACACACACACACACACACACACACACACACACACACACACACACACACACACACACACACACACACACACACACGCACAAACACGCACAAACACGCAAAACACGCACAAACACGCACAAACACGCACAAACACGCACAAACACGCACAAACACGCACAAACACGCACAAACACGCACAAACACGCACAGCACGCACAGCACGCACAGCACGCACAACACAACACACACAGCGCACAGCACAGAACACCCACACACACGACGCAGCTCAGACTCTTCTGGAAGGCTCCAAAGGGCTCATCCACTCCACTCGCTCATCACTATCCACAAACATACTCATGTGGGGTTATCCGGTCCTTTGCCTTCAATGTTCTGGATAGTTGGCCACTAGCTTCTTTATGAATACTCACCTCTTGCTGCATACCCTTCTCAGATTTCGTCCTTCGAGGCTGTGCACCACGGAGTATGCGCAAGCAAACCAAGTTGCTTGCACGGGTTGTCATCGGAAAGCTTTGCAGCAACCTCATTCATCTTTTCGCGGTCAAAGAGTGTCGAGCCAGGGTGTGATTCGTCCTGGAGTCTGCTGATTCTTATTGGCTTTAAAAGCTTGCTGCCTAGCGGCCTGGGGCTTCTAACATTCTTGGAGACCAAACCGGTGATTTCCCTTGTAACCATGTCTCAACGAAGATCCGTTGACATCGCCTTGGACCCACCCGCTAAAGGTGCTTTTTTTCCCTCCTACCTAGCAAGGACGAAGCCCGCATTGCAGGGAGTCTGTGAAGTACAGTCGAGAACAGCTATCTTGGTGTAGCTAATTGGCAGAAGTAGGGACCAGAGTAATATTTACTCCCGTCTCAACTCCGCTTCCTCATCAAGAAGTGCTTGCTCCTAAAGGTGCCTTTAGGGTTTCGGGTTGCCAGTTCAGGTTGGTGCAGCAAACAGGAGTTTAGGTACTCAAGACTTTAGGTAGTTTTCTACGGGTTGAAGTCCTTGCACTCTTCCAAGTACTCCGGATTTTGTGCGCCGAACTTGATGAGCTCTGGAGGTTTGTTGGGGCCGGCACGGAGCGCCTCGGCAGCACATGGCCTGTTTAGCGTCAGCCTTGTTCGGGTGAGGTCTACTCGTTTACAACAATTGAAACGGAGCTCCTTTCTGCCTTAGCCCAGAAGCATCATTTGCCTTCGCGCCGCGGGCTTCGAAAACGGCGTCAAAATCGCTGACCGGAACCACATGCCAAACGTCGTTACCCAGCGACACGTCGAGAGGGTGTACAGCCTGGGAAAGATTTGCCCATGGTTGTCACAAGGGGCAACTCTACCACACCTCTTGAAGCAACACTGCGGCGTACTCAATTGAAAAGGTCTCAGCGAGAATTGAATTGAAAGGTCAGCATCTAGTTGTGCTGCGGTGCAAAGAGGGACCCGTCTCTTCATATGAGCAGCATCCGAAGAGGCACACTTTTCCTGTCCAAAGAGGCACCACTGACCGTGGTACTTGTCGTAGTCCAGTGTGCCGCTCGGGGATTGCCTCACCAGTCTGGGCCCTTTCTTGTCAGAAGCCCTCAAGCCAAATTCTTCAATACGAGAAACGGGCCGCCTCTTGTTCCCACTTCTTACCAGCATCAGCAATTTGATTGTTCGATTTTCCAGCAGATCCCGAAGACTATTCAGATGCAGCATATCAAAACCACAGGCTCCAATCGCTGTCTTGATCTAGCACCACATTGTGCTTGGGAGCTTACGCTCCGCTCCGGTGCGGCATCACCAAAATGGTGGAGATATGGAAATGCTGATCACACCAAGCAAGACATGTCTGCACATGAGACGGCATGTTGCAACATTCGTTTCCACAGATACTCCTTTCTTTCTGCGAAGCTCCACGCCTGAAGATCCCTAAAAGGGCATAAGCGTGCGATTCTTGAACAAAAGTGCAGGCTTAGAGCGGGTCGTCTGGCGCGTCGGCCGCATATCTTGCAGTTTCCTTCTCAGTGTGCACGCATCTCGCAGAAATCGCCCGTTTAGATGCGACGTGGATTTGAAGGAGATGGGCGAACGGACTGTCTGCTGCAAGCGCACCCATCAAGGAAACGTGCAGGCAGAACTGGCAGCGGGCACGCGGAATGCACGAACTACTCACTAATGACCTCGTTGAGTGCTGGGGGGCGGGTTGCCCCAAACTTCGCGGCTTGCCAAACGCTTCTGCCCAAGACATCCCAAGTTCAAGACTGGGACCAATAACATGAAGCCGGGTCACCCTCGGAGCAGCAAACATCCTATACCACATCAGGAACTCAAAATCCGAAACGGTCCGGTGCCGGTCAAAGCTGGAATTCTGACTATAGACAAGTCGCCCGGTCTGGAAGGCAAAGGTTTGATTGAAGACAACCCGGCCGGTGTCATCGACGTGCCTTGGGCAATAACGACCTGGGGAAGCAAGGTTGCTAAAATCGCCAAGGCCCCCTGCTTTTCTACCCTGCCCTCTCTGCCCATGAGGCCTTCCCATTTCTCTGCCTTCACACTGAGCCTTTGGTCCGGAAAAACAACCATGGGAGCGTGGCTGAGCTGGCAACATACCTTGCAGCAGCAACGATGCGACTGTTGTGGGCAACTGTCCATTATCACAGAAGTAGACCCTGCTAGAGCATGCCAATGTGGACGCTCAAACCCAGCCAGAACATTCTTGACAGGTTGCGTACTTGAAACGTATGGCCGTGGTTACTTGCTCTGCCGCGATGGACTGCAGGCCATGATCTGGTGGGCAGACCGCGAACAGGTCCTGTACCTGGAGGGCCGGAGCTTGCAGGACAAGCATGAAACAAGAACTTCGAAGAACTCCACACAAGAAAATAGCACTCGACGGATAGGGTCTACATTTGCAGGCATGTTTTATTTCGTCGCTCCTATTCTTATCAAGGCTTTGCTCAGGCACAGATAGGGGATACCTGATTCAGTGCTCACGATGCTGCCAAAGCACACGGCTAGAGCTAATGTCGGTGTCGCCAATTTCGACCTGCACGGGTCAAGGTGTAGGTGCAAAACCTCGAAGTCATGGCATCTTCTTTTACTACGCGACACGAATAGTCGCATCCTGGGTTTGCTGAGCATGAAAGCACGGACCTGAGGACCTGACAAGGCTTTGTTCCCCCTACCAAGCTGCCAACTCCTGGCCTCGAGGCCTTCATGGCCCTCAAACTTTCCGTCTCAGTCGACGAAGCATGTGAACCCTAAGCTGAAGTGTTGTTGTTGCCAAATCGAAGGAGCCTTGAACCACAATCTCCAATCCAAAAGAAGCCTTCGACTCGGCACGGACTGCTTCGAACCGGGCTGTGCGCTGCTGAAATTCGGTGAACAGGAACCTGAAAAGAAGTGATTCATTACTTCGTCCCGCCTGGGTACTGTAATTGGGTATGCAGGAGCCCAGGGCTGCCACATGCGAGCACCTTAACCATGACTCTGCACCGGGGCATGAGCATTCGAGGCTTCGGTTTATAGTCCCCGAATGCCAAGCACTTCGGGATTCGGTCTTTGTGGGAAAGAAGGAGAAGGTTGTTGGGGAAGGCGCCGTTTGGGTGCACCGCTTTGCTTTGGGACAACACGGTCCTCACACGTCGGACTCTGGCCTTGCTTTCCTTTGCATTTTGAGGTCGAGATCTCTCAATTCCCATGCGAACAAACAAACTAGTATACTGTAGTAGTAGTGGTAGTAGTAGTGGTAGTAGTAGTAGTAGTAGTAGTAGTAGTAGTAGCAGTAGCAGTAGCAGTAGCAGTAGTAGTAGTAGTAGTAGTAGTAGTAGTAGTAGTAGTAGTAGTAGTAGTAGTAGTAGTAGCAGTAGCAGTAGCAGTAGCAGTAGCAGTAGCAGTAGTAGTAGCAGTAGTCGTCGTGGTTGCTTCGAGGCTGAGGTGGCAGATTGGACACAGATCACAGAGTCTGAAGATGTAAAGCCTCGCGCCCTTAATCTTTCGCCTCCGAGCTAAGCCGTGTCCTGCATTGCAATGAGTTCAGTTCACGCTTGGACCAGGCACGTGTAGGTGATTTCGTCGCCTTTCTTCACAATCGCCGACAGCAGCATGTCACCTCTTTCTAAGGTTCACAAGAGCCGACCGGCCGGCAAGTTCTTTAGATGCTGCCTTCGCGACACAAGCAGCCCTCCCGGCCTCGGCAAGTCACATTGGCATCCACCAGGGAGTGCAGACCGTCGCCGAGTGTCCAGTGGCACCAACTCCACTGGTTCTTTGTGTGCGAGCTGACCAACTCGCTCAGACTCCCTAGCTCTTCCCGCATTATCCGATTGTTGTCGGCCTCGGCTTGCGCGAGCCTCTTCTGATAGTTTTCCTCCTTCTCTTTCTTCCTTTTGCCGGGCCAGTACATCTTGCCGAAAACCTTTCCACTTCGTTTCCTGTAGTAGCCCAACAAGCCCTCTGCAGAACCTCGGCTCAACGAAAACACGATGCTGCACGCTTCCACGTTCCGCTTAGCTCCTTCAAACTGCAGACTAGTGTACAGAACGTGCCGTCGTCACTGAAGATTCCGTTCTCATCGGCGTAAGTGGCACTCATGTGGCCGTTGCTCTCCCTTCTGGCGAGCAATCTCCTCAGGAGGGCACGGAGGGGCTTGTGAGTGTGCGTGTGCGTGTGAGTGTGAGTGTGTCTGTGTCTGTGCGTGGGTGGGTGCGTCTGTGGGTGCGCATTTCTGTCGCTCAAGAAACACAGGGTTCACCACCCACCTGACCGCCAGAATTTGTTACCGTTTCTCATGTTGACTGCTTTGACATGAGACAGGCTTCTAGGGGCATGCGGCTTTTACGCAAGTGCATGCCAACAAAGCTATGAATGCGTTATGGTGGAGACCAAACCTGATCACTCTGGCGTACCTGCAAAAGCTGGGGCCCCTGTGCCAGCAAGATTAAAGAGTCCTTGTGCCAAGATCAGATAGTGTTCCCTACAGCAACAGTCACACATGTCAGGTGTTCCTTGGTTCAATCTGCATTTCACTACACACAGCCAGCACAGTTTTTCCTATCCCTGCGCATGCGTGTCGAAGCACGAACAGTTCGCACATGCACAAAAGCCTGCGCCACAAAAGGATAGAGTCACAGGGCGATCGCGACTCCGGTGACTCTTGCGTAGCGTTATGCGCCAGAAGGTTTGATCTGCGAGCTGCCAAGGCACCTTTTGCCGTTCTCGAGCTTGTATCTAACATCCTTTGCTTGTATACCACTCCTGGACCTTGCAAGGGGAAAAGAAAGGCAGAGTCTCCCGCAATGACTGCGGCAAAGGCTGGCACGACAGGCCGAGGTGCCGCAAACGGAATCTGGTGTCACCTGCATCTGATTCCAAGATCCTGAACTGCTGTCCCATGTCGGAGGGGACGCATCTTGCCAGAGATCTGGAATAAGTAGAGGGATCGACATTGAGAGTGTAAGTCAAGCAATCTCCGGAGTATGCATTGATGACTTGAAACCAGCCGGGCACGTCAATCTTCTGTTCGGTTGATTTGTGGTACGTGATCGCCGGAGTGCAGGTTGCGCTCATGCCCTGCTCCCCCTTCTCAGTCCCGAGTCCGAAAGACTGCAAGACATGTCCCTTGCAGTCTGCCGTGAGCTCGAAGTCTTGGAGATTCGCGGGGCGCCAGCCCGGACTCTCCTTCAACTTCACCGACTTCGGCTGTGCCAGTTGAACCTGAGCCTTGTACAACTGGAAGACAGCGGTGCTCAGCTGCGACGGCTTGAGAAGCTGCAAGGGGGACGCATCCGAGCAAGCCTCCATTGCGACAGTGGGTTCGGCCTGAAGGCCTTTCTTGAGACTGAGACACTTCCTCCCCAACCTGTACCGGCGCAAATAGTCAGGGTGTCCATTGACAATCTCCGGAGTCCACCATGCCGCCATCGCAGATTCTCCGCTAAGCTCGGCCTGGTCGTTCAACCAGTATGCTGCATTTCTTGCATCAAGTGCGATGGTGACCTTTCTGCCACTGAGGAAATAGAGCTCCTGTTTGTCCCGCCTGTCCAGATCTGCATATGTTGTCGTGACAGCCTCGGCGACAACTCTTGCTACGGGCAGTGGGCCAAGCCCAGACAGTTCCCCACGTCCTTTAAGGTTTAAATTCAAAGAATGCTTCTTAAGGCCTCTGTCGACCAACAGTCTGGAACTATAGCACCCGAGCCCCGAGTCAATGCAAAGCTATCTTCGCATGGCGCAAAGCTATCTTCGCGTGGGATCAGAGTTTGCGGCACTCGCCCTCGAGTCGCAAAACAACCGCACACCCTGGCCTGGACACAAGCACCGCAGGTGAAGCCCTCGAGGCCCGGCAGTCCCCTTAGGTGTTCAGGCTTGGCTTCTCGCGGACCAAGACCTGTTTCCGCTGCGCAATAAACCGAAGCCCAGCCTGAAGCCTCCCTTCTCCAGACCCCTGTGTCTTAAATGCCTCGAGCTCCCCAAAATTCGACCCGAGCATCCGCTCATTCACCCAAGCCCCGGCGACACAGGAGAGGGTCTCAGCGCTGCCGAAGCTAACCTGGGAAGTTGCTCGAGGCTTGGATGTTTTGCCATCGGCTCCGGACAAAGCGGGTCTTCCCCTGGGTCTGCGGCAGAGTTCCAGGCCCGCGCGGCATTGAAGCGCTCAGACCAGCAGCTCATTCGCAGCATCTGGCCTCGGGGAGTGTAATTTGGAAGCTATTTGTATGAGCTTCTATATCGCGATTGTTAGTGACGAGGATAACCATGATGCTGATGGTGGTGGTGGTGGTGGTGGTGATCACCAACATCATCATCGTCACCATCATCATCAAGTTTACTTTGCTACTACCACGGAAACATCCATGATGTTTATTGCCGCTACCAGTAGTCCATCGCTTGGTGCAAGTTAGGCCCACACCAAGGAGATTTGAATCTGCGGCCTCCGGAAAGCGGCATTCGTTGAAACTTGTCTTGGATTCGCGCACTCGGCTCCGATCCATGCTCTCCTCAAACTTCTCTAATTACCCTGATCCAAGGAAGCGGTTTCCCAGATGAAGGTGACCCGACACCCGGTTTGATTCGGGGCTTTCACAGGTTGACGAGGAGAACCTAGGCTTGCCCTTGTGCAAGCCCCAACCGGAATGGCCAATGGTCACCTGTCCGTACCACTAGACCGGTGAACGACAACTACTGGTAATGGCCAACGATTCTGCTTCACTACAACAGAAAAGAGCAGGCCAAAGAAACAGAACAAGTAGAGAGAAGGGTCAGAAACAGAAGACACTGCGAGTGCACGGCCCACATGAGTGAAGACCAGCTCCGAATTCGGCCTTCCGCTCTAGGAGTCAAAAAAACCCTAGCTGTTTCACTCCTGCACACCGAACATTTACAGAGATCTATCACAGCACCCTCAATGCACCCGGGCTGAGCCTCAGCTCCGGCGGTGACAACGGAAAATCAGCAACAGTGGCACATTGTCCGAGACTTTATCACTAGATGCCGTTATCCATGGTGAGACAACTTGCCGTGGCTCAGCAACACATCGGGCAGCACATCTGACAAGCTTAATCTCAAACAGGCAGACATCACAGCGACCTCCGAAGTAATTGACGAACCTTTGGCGTCTTCACTACCACGGATGAAAAGATATCCAATAGCCTTCTATATACCTGAGGATGCACCACTGAGGAAGGCTGCAATAGCAGGCCACCATGGATCCCAGCCGATGAAATAGAAAGCATACAAAAGTAGTGCGTGAAACCACAGAACAGTCAAACGCAAGCAATTAACTGTCAAGCATCAGTATGAGCATACAGAACCTAACACCTCCAGAACACTCTGCAGCCTGCGCACAAGGCAAGCGAAGCCACAAACCCAACTCTGAGGCCACACCCCGCTCGGGGACTGTGGCCCCGGCCATGCAAGAACTCTGCCGGCAGCGGCTTCTTTTTCGTCAGCTCCTGGATGGGGGCGCGGCCGCCACTAATCTGTAGCCCCATTGCCTCGATCTCAAAAAGCGTTTGACCGTTAACCTCACAAACGCCTCCATACCCAAACCCCTCAAATCTAGCTCCTTTATTGCCTGTCCCGATGGTTACAACCGTAAAGTACTAACAGCCACCGAAGGCGGCATCAAAGGCAAACCCACAGTTTCACCGACCTGCCTTCCAGTCTCGGTATTGACACCTTCCACACAGGACTACGCCAAAACCACCGAGCATGAGCTTCTGATCGCACTGTTCGAGCAGCGCCTCGAGCCACCAAAGGAGGGGCTATTTCTGAAGAAACAGAAACCAAGGTTTGCATGTTGTCTCGCTCTTGCACAACCTAGAACCGAATCAATCGTCAACTTCTGCCACCGGTCAATTTGGGCATACCAGCTGAAGCCTCACATCGAACCGTGCAGCAACGGGCGCTCGCCTGGTACTTGCACGCGGTTTTGGTCAAAGATGCTCCGGCGCCGAGGTAAGCACGACGCTGCGTCACTTTCCAGCACACGTCCGGGTTTGCGACTCTGCATACTTCCTCTTCGGTGACACCAAAAACTGTTCCGACAATGCCGACCTCACGAACCTCAGAAGCCAAAGTGCTCGGGGTCATCTGTTGATATCTGATTTGGATATCACATACTTTGCTCTGCATCGGATGCTTTGTGCAGGGGTCTTTATGTCATACAGCCGCAATAGCAGACAAGATGAGTCTGAATGCACGAATGCAGATTTGCATGTCTGAGCGCTCGACCAACACTTCACAGCCCTTGTAGAAACGACACTGCTTGGTACCCAAGACCTCACCTGAGCCACGACCCTGCAGTCTGGGAGGGTGTACATGCAAGCTCGAGAACCTTTTTTGAGTAGCCGCATCCCTCCAGCTTGTGAGCACAAAAGATACCGATACTTCCAGTAGCAAACGCTTCACAGCCCCTTGCACGGAGCAATTCATGCACGAGGATAGGAGCTGGCTCGTCTCAGGGTGCACTGACGCAAAACCTTGCTGAAGAAGGAAGTGGATGGGATCCGCAACTTGAGATACAAAGCTGGGGTTCAAGGGATAAGAAGTGGTTTTTAAAAATCCGACTCCGACCCGCCAAGCGCAATCCAGCCCACCCACATTTCCCGGACCACATCACTCATTGCCAATGGCCTTCCCAGTAGAACCTGCAGTTCGCGTCGGTCACGCACATCGTCTTGCACCCGCCATCATCCGACGCCTCATCTGCAGTCTCCGTGTGCACGCTGATCAGGTTCCTCAGAATGCCACTGTAACCTTGAACTGTCTGGACAATCAACCTCGCATCTTACCTTTACTAGACATCTTGGTTTTTACTTGATACTCGAGAGGGTAGCCTGCGTCGGGACTACTCGACACCCTGCGTCTCATATGCAAACATACACTATGACATGTGAAATCTGCCACTCGAAGGAGAAACCAATGTGTAATCATAGAGTGTTCGCCATGCTGTACCTGAAGTTAAGCTGCCAAGGCTGGCATTTGTGTTTAGAACACAGAGAATTTAAAACTTATCGGGGTTCAGTCGCATTAGTCCGCGCTAACCAAGCGAAATCTCATTCTAATTGATGCCGCCTGAGAAGGGACACGCCAAAACAGATAGAAATTGTGGGTGTGCGTATGTGTGTGAAAATACAAGTACATATCAATATCTGGTCTACCGTCTGTCAGTATCCACGCACCCCTCTCAAATCAAAACTTGGTTAGAAATGGTCCAAGTTATCACATGCGATGCGGCGTTGAAGGACCAAATTGCATTGACTGGTAACCGTGTAACCACGGGGCACAATCTAGATCTGCTGCATTGTGCTTGCAAAAGTTGGGTCCTTCAACTTCCAGAACCTACGTTCCGAGACTGCGCAACCCCTTTTGGATTTCATGTATTTCTTCAGTGAAGCTACTGTACAACTGTTTGAATGGTTCAACACTGATGAGTCTTGGTAAGACTTCGTCTCAGTAATGATGCTTCGCTGAGAATTCATACAAGACGTCGCAGCTAAGCCTTAGCTGAATTTCGAAATCTACGGTTGGTGTGATTGAAAAGGAAAACACGAAAAACGAAACACAAAACGCGTATTCATTTTTGAAACAATTACAACAATTTGTATGCGTCAGTAGCGATCCTTTGAACCCTCCAGGATCTTTTGCATCCAACCTGCTACGGCCGCTGCTGCGTTGGGAGTCTCAAAAGGCTGGCCGTGTGAGGCTTCGCGTAGGACTTCCAAGGATGCTGCAACCGAAAGCTCTAGGAGCCTTACCTGCACATTAGGTAAACCATCACCGAAAAGCTACTAAACTAAAACTAGGTGTCAAGATTTCGTACATAAACCTACCTTGGACGTAGGGCCAATACTGTGGCTATGCGGTAAGAAAGCAGAGGGCAATGAATCCTGATACATCGGAAGAAACATAGAGGATTCCGTGAGCTCTGGAAGGGTGGCAGTAAGCTGGTAGTGTGTGTGTGTGTGCATACATCTGTAAATATATATCTATATATGTATACATACACATGACATGAGTTCCTGTGGGTGTGTGCATGTGCCTGTGTGTATGCATGTATGTGTGTATGTATGTCTGTATGTATGTATGTAAAAGTCTGTAATAGCGATATATATATATATATATATATATGTGTGTGTGTGTGTGTGTGTCGGTATGCGCCGGAAATGCATGCAGGCATGCTCGTATAGGTAGGTAGGTAGGTCGGTCGGTACGTAAGTAGGTCTAATGTTTGAATAAAGAAATACATCGCACAGACGCACAGCCCCATTTTGAACACCAATGTCTGCTGGGCGGCACCA